CAAGAACAAGGGCCTGAGTTCAATCCACAGTTCCACCAAAAAAATAAAAATAAAAGGAAATCTCAAAGCAGTCAAATTTTGGGGCAGTGTCATGGTTATTGTTGGGGGCTCTTAGTCAGATTTATATTGAGAATGATGAGCAAAGAGCCAAGCAGAATTATTGGAAATATTGTCAGTTTGGCCAGAAAGGAAGCTTCGATAAAGTTGTGGAATGCAAAGAAAGAGCTGAGATCTCCATTGCCCAGGAGGAACAGAAGAGTATAGAAGATGTCCTAAGGGCATCACAGAAGGTGGCAGGTTCTCACCCTTTGCAGCCTCAGAATCACAAAGGTGCAAGACTTTGCTTTGAGGAGAAAGCCACAGAGCCCCATGTTCCAGAATGGTGCCAGTGGCCACACCACATTCCAGAATGGAGGTGGTGGCCACACCAGATTACAGAATGGCACCGGCATAGAGAATTTGTTTCTTGGAATCAGGGTCAGAGTGCTCAGTAATCCAGGCACTCCACCTCTATGGCCAAGAGAAGGAAAAGGCTGGCTAGTACTCCAGCTGGCAGCAGACCTTGGCTTCTACCATGTAGCACTGGTTTTAGGCACATGTAGAATGTAGGAGTTCTGAGGTTAAGGCTTCCACCTAGATTTCAGAAGAGGGCATGGGCAACCATGGAGTGGGACCCTGATAGAGCAGTGTGTGAAGCTGTGAGTGAGAAGCTTATTCAGTGGAAACCCCAGAAGTTTGAAAAATCAAGGAACCTGGTTAATCTAAGGGAAACTGCAAAGAGGGAGCAAATTCGGCCTAAGAAAGAATCCATAGGAACAACCACCAAGAATGCCATAGGGGAGGAGCCAGATGGAGTTTACAATTTATCAGAGATTGCCTAAGATGTTCCACAAGGATCTGCAGGATTTAATCCTTGCCCTGCTGGATTTTGGACTTGTTTTGGTCCCAATGATTTGTGTCCTCCAGTGTACGCCTTTTGGAATGGCAATGTTAGTCTTGTGCCATTGAATGTTGGATGTATTTAACTTTTCATTTGTACAGGGGCTCATAGTTGAGAGTTTGCCTTGGATCTCAGATGAGACTTGGGACTTGGACTTTTCAGCATTGCTGAAACTTTTGGGACTTTGGCAACTCTTAGAGATTGATTAAAATGCCTTTTGCAGAAAGGAATGTACATGAGACCTTGGGGGTCCAGAGACAGAATATTATGGTTTGTGTCTAGTTGTACCCCCAAAGCCTCATGTAAATCATGCGATGGTTGTTGCTTGAGGAGCAGAGTGTGGCTTGAAGGGCTGGGCCAGAGGACCAGGGTGGGCTTGATGGGCGGGGCCAAAGAGGTACAAACCCTTAAGCTGACAGCATGAGCCTCCCTACCACTGCCCCCAGGCCTGGTGGCCTCTCTTGAAGGTATGGAGTGGATCATCCTGGACACGGTGGCACCCCAGCCTCTCTTGCAGACCCTGTAGCACAGTGTGGCAGTGTCTTGAGGTCTTGCTATGTAATTTAGGCTGCTTTAAACTGTGAAACTTCCAGTAACTGTGAGCTAAATAAACCTTTCCTTCCCTAAGCTTGAGTGTCAGGTATTTGTCCCAGCAACAACAGTAGAACAACTAAGACTTATACTTAGGGGTGGAATTTCTGGATCACATGAACATGCTGATTTCCATTTTTTTAGAAACTGTCACAGTGTTTCCCACAGCAGTTGTACCAATTTCAAACATAAAAACATTGCTCATGTGTTCTAATTTCTCCACATCCTTGCTGACACTTATTTTATTTTATTTCATAGCATTTCTGTTAATCACTATCTTAGTGGGTCTGAACTGACAGCTCATGGGGCTTTTGATTTACATTCTCATAATGATTGTTGATGTTGAGTCTATTCATGTGCTTATGAACCATATGTATGAGTTCTGTGTAGGAAATATCTATTCAAGTTCTTTCCACATTTAAAAAGTGATTTACTTTTATTGTTGTAAGATTTCAAATTTTTCATGTAAAATATTCAAGAAGCATGAAGTTTATATATGAGAAATCGTGTAAGACACTGTGAGGGATAAAAAGTAAGACAGCTGGTTAATCCTGGAGCACCTAAGAAAATATACAAAGGATAAATTGATGAGGATATGTAATAACCAAAAAGTTCACACACACATGGGTACAGAAAGAAATAATATATCTCTTTCAAGTCTTTTGAGAAGAATATCAGAGAAGGCTGTATGAAATCAGTAACATTGGAGAACATTCAAGGATGGATAGGATTTCCATAAGTATGCACAGAATTGGTAGGACATTCAGGCAAGGGACATGATGTGACAAAAAATCATGGATATAGGAAAATTTGGGGTACCAATGCTGAATTGAGTTTATTCACAATGATTGCGTAAGGCTTGAAGTATAAGGCTTTCAATATGAGAAAAACAAATTTCTAAACTACTTTAATAAACAGTAGGGAACTTGTGGAAAAATTTGAGAAGAAAACAATCCAGTGAGATCTAGAACTTCAATATTTCCTATGTTCACATGCTTTTGTTGAGGTGTATATCACATAGCCACTAGCAAGTACTCCATACATAACAAGCATCTAGCAAATGAGTGATTTGTAAAACAAAATCTTATATACCAGTCCTTTGCTATGTTGTTTATCAGAATATGTAGAACATGAATGGAAAATTTAATAAATAGTGTGAGTTCCTATATAATTATTTTGTCAAAGCTACTGATGATTTTCCTGAAGAATGATTGGGCTACCCGACTGTGTTTTTTATGCTAATGAATTTTATAGAGCCTAGAAATTTTATCAATGTGTCTTTGTTGGAACAATTAAGAAAAAAAGAGTTCTTACAAAAGAACACAGGACTCCAAAATGGATCTCAATCATTTTCTGGCTGCAGATGTGAAACTATAGTTTCAGCTTACACTCTGTGTTTCAGTCCTGTGATGGTTAATGTGAATAGATGTATGTTTTTCAAAATAAAATCAATTCACATTGAAATAAACATAGACAAAAGAAAGGTTTTCTTATAGTCAACAGATTGGATGGCTTGTTTTTCTTTCCCTATACAAGAACAGTGTTTGTAGTTTCTGGAATCAGGAGAAATTGTAGCATTGGTGAACTTTTTCAGCACTAAAAATGCTTCAGCTTCTCCTCATTTAAGAATAAACCACAAGAGCATTTATGTGTCTGTAATAATTTAAAACAACTTACACTCATTATAAAATGCCAAAATGTTCACTGCATAAAGGCACTATTGTCAAAAATCCAAAAGCAAAAAAGTCCCGCAGTTGTGATGAATTGATTTGCCCAGTTAAGGGTGAAGATAACTACATGTATTAAATGTAACAATGGCCCAGACTCTGCAAGGATTTTGATGTGTTACTCCTCTCAAGATCCCTGGAGTGTAAATTTTATGTTACTAACTGTTGTGGTTTGTGTCTAGTTGTCCCTCCAAAACCTCCTGTAAGTCATGGTGCTGGCTTGGCTCCAGGAACAGTAAGTGGCTTGGGGGGTGTGCAGAGAGGTGTGAATGTCCCCAGGCCTTCAGCCTCTGAGAGGTGTGAAGCTGGTCATCTTGGACACAGCAGTGCCCCAGATTCTTCTACAGACCCTGTAGCACAGGGTGATGGTGTCTGCGACTGAGGCCACCTCTGGCAGAGAAAAGATGTTTGAAGAAAACAGGGGCACTGACCCTCGCTCCTGAGCAAATAAGGCTCCGAGGTCTTCCTACATCATTCAGCCTGTTTTAAACTATGAAACCTCCAGTAACTGTACACTAAATAAACCATTCATTCCTTCAGTTTGAGTATTTGTCCCAGCAGTGAGAGGAGAGTAACTAAGACACTAACATTATAGATAGGATACAGTTATTTATACCTTGTCAGGAATACTTAACACTGGCTCCAGAATTTGTGATTTAACATAAAAAAGGTTACTGAATTTGACACCATGTACTCATCCTGTCAAGTGTTCTCATCATCTCTTAGGGCCACTGGATTGTTTTACATACAAGTGGTGGGCAAGGGAAGAAAATTTCACAGAAGATGGCTCAAAGAGTGCTAGAGGTACACTTACTTGTGCAATACTCCATTGCTGAGGTCTCAGCTACATAGACCCACTTAATTGCAAACGGGCCAGAAAATATAGTCTAATGTACTAGAGGAGAAGATGAAGAAGATGAGACTGGCTACCAGTAAAATGCTTTGCTATGTAGCACATTTTTCTGATTATCAAATCTCCTGCCTGTCACTCTTCTTCCCCCAAACACAACACATAAACTATGCAATTCTTTAGGCCAGTGGCTGCCCACAACTCCAGCTGTTTACAACTCCCACCTCAGATGAATTGAGACAAAGTCGTTTCTATAGGGTCAAGATTAGGCTTAGAAATTTTGGCTTTGTAGCTAGTTAATGAAGATCCACTAAAATGACTCATCAAGGATATCACTCAGAAGCACTGCCTTGTTGAAAAACTGTTTCCTTTGTTCACTCTATATTACATATGAGTTAAGTGAGATGACATATAAGATAATTTCTGGAAATATTTGTATTCATTTCCTGCACAGTATCAAAAAATTACTGACTTGTTAACATTCTGTGATTATATGGAGATGATGTTCCCCACATGCAGTGTGCCTTTGGAAATCCTGTATATTTGTTGGGTTGCTTCGGTCCCTCTCAAGTCTTTTGTTGGATGACTAGTGGCCCAGGTGGGAAAGATGTAAAGACAGGGATAAAGAAACCCGATTTTGCCACAGTAGAGGTTTTTCTTTTTGTCTGAAGATCCAAACAAGACTCTGGTTCTCTGCCAATTTGGTTCAGTTACAAATCTTAAATGAGTGTATAAGATAAACTCTGTCTTCCTAATTACTATGCATGCCTGGTCTTCTCACTAACACACCCAAATCACTATCTTTTTAAAAAATTTCTGATTGTACGATAATCCTTATTTGAACTTTCATATTGCACACACTAAATAATGTTGACTATAAAATATGAGAGCTGTGCTCATTTGGGCAGCACATATATTAAATTGGAATGATGCAGAGAATATTGGCATGCCTCATGTGCGAGTGTGGACTGCAAAGTTGTGAGGAGTTGTTCTTCCTTGTATGCCAAACCTGAGATAGACAGAGGGTCATAATCAATACTAGAGGTCATTGCTAGAGAAGCAGCGTCTAGGCCAAATCGGCAGCAGGTTCTCATACTAAACAAACTGAAGAAGAATTATCTTGCAATGGACTCAAAAGCCAAAAGCCAGCTAAACTTGGAAGACATCTCTGGGAAGTAGCCATTTCCTAAAGGTTCTTGATACTAGCAATAAAGCTACCCATCATAAGCAATTTATGAGCATAAGCACAGAAATTGAACTACTAAAAAAAAAGAAAAGAAACAAAGAAGGATATACTTTTAGATTGTCAAAGATAAACAGGGGGCAATGAGGTGGAACCAGTTTCCAAACGATCCACATGGATTCTCTGAGGTGCTAACAGTGGAAGTCACAAAGCAGAAGAATGAGGCTC